AGTATTGCCGCGGGCGTGGGCGCGCGACACCAGAGCCCGATCCCCGCTGTCCCGGGCCTGCCCTCCCTGCGCCACGGCACCCCACGCCGCAGTCCGTGGCCCCCTTCCCGAATCCTTCGGCTCGCGTCCTGCCCAGGTGGCTCGCGGCTGCCATCGCGGAGCGCGGCGGAGGATCTTGCTCCCTTCGCCTTGGTCCTGCCCGGCCTTGCCCTCCTTCCAGTGCCCCAAAGCAGTCGTGGGCTGCCCCTGCGCTCTCATCTCTGTTGCACACTAACCCTGCGGGGCAGACCACGCCGAGAGCCGGTTCTGCGCGGGAGCGGCCCGTGTCCTGCGGGGCCTGTCCTGGGGTGGCCAGGGAGCCCCGGAGCAGGGCCAGGCGAGAAGCAACCCTGTATCACCCGTGAAGAGCTGGCTTGCCAAGCATCAATCAGCTCACGGACTAAGATGAGCCGTCCCACACAAAGAGGCTGCTTGACAGGCAGGGATGCAAGCTATGTCAAAGCTCAGCCCCAAAATCAAGCCAGGCAACCCAAGCCACGTGCTTCCCATGGAGGGGATGCTTGCCTGGCGTGGCTCGAGCATACCACCTAAGGAGCCAGGCGCATGAAGAAGCGGCTTGCCCGGCACGAGGCTAATCTGGCACTAAGCTCAGTCTCCCCACGAAAAGGAAGCCCGCCTCTAGGAGATGGAAACTCTCTCACCCCTTGAAGGGGGCTCTGGCCAGGACTCTACAGAAATTCTCACTTGACTCGGCCATCCCATGAAGAGTTGGCCTGTGGGGCATCATTTCAGCCCAAGATACGGGTCTCCATGAAGGGGACGCCTGCCTGGTGTGGCCAGAGAACACCTCTCTATGGAGCCAACCTCGTGAAGAAGCGGCTTGCCCGGCACAAGGCTAATCTGGCACTCAGCTGAGGCTTCCCCATGAAGAGGAAGCCCTCCTCTACAAGCTGAAAACACTCTCACCCCTTGAAGGGGGCTCTGGCCAGGACTCTACAGAAATTCTCTAGGCAGGAGTGTGTACACATGTCCAGGGAATTCAAGGGTCCACTCACTCCTCTTCCAGCCACCCCCCTTTTCTTCAGCAGCTGTTGCGGGAAATGCTGCAAATCCACGACTGTGATGGGCTGTGAGGATAAGAAAGTGCTCGGAGAGCCGCCAAGGCTTTCTCACGAGAGGAAAAAAGGGCCCAGTTTAAATGCAGGGTAAGTTGCATAATGAGAACACTGCTGCTGCTGGTCTCGTTCTAGCCACTCTTGGCCAGGCGTCTCTGCTGTAAGAAGAGGCAGCTGTTAAAATCCCCTTCTCCCAGGCTGTGGCAGTTGGCCCCTGGATGCCCCAGCCCTGCAGTTGCCCGCACTTGGGAAGTTGCTACCTCCTTTGTAAATTGTATTTGTAAATACGGAATGAGAAATCCTTCTCCACTTTGATGGCAGGGGGATGGCTGAAGGGCTCAGCCCTGGGATGGCTCGGGTACGATTAGATTCCCTAGGCTTGGACTTTCAGCTGCCCTACCTCGCAGGGCTCTTGTGAGGATAGAACGGGGAGAATGGGAATCGTGGGAGCTGCCTTGGATTCATTAATTAATCTTGGAGTTCCAAGATCATTTTCATTTATGCTATCGTTAAGGGAAAGAAGAGCTGGAAGTATTTTGTGGAAAGGGATAGCCCTGATGCCTATGTATGCCTGCCTTCTCCCCCCTCGGCTCTCATTCTTTTATTCTCATTTCCTTCTCCTCTACCATGACAAACCCCTCAGAAGACAGGATGTCTCATTTGAGAAAAGGCTGGTGAAAGCCTTTGCTTTTTTAAAAAATAAGTTTTATTATTATTATTATTTTCTACAAGCCAAATAAAATAAAAAAACTAAAAACATCAATCATCAGAGACATCAGAACTACTATGTCAGCCCACCCCATTTTTTTATAGCAATCCATAGGCATATTCAAATCTACACTTAGTCCCGTTTCTCTAGCCAATAATAAAAAGAGTTCCAAGTTTGACAGAAGTATGCATCCTCTTTCTCCTTCAGAGACAAAGTCAGCCTGTCCATTTCAGCGCAGTCCAGGATCTTTTTAAAAATCAGTTCTTCACTCCTCCAATGTTGGGCAAATACAATTCTTGCCGCAGTAATTACTACACGTAAATCACATACGTTGCCTGTTTGTCAACATCATCAGACACAATGCCTAATAAAAAGACTTCAGGTTTAAATATTAAAGATTTTTGTAACATTTCCTCAAGCCATTTATGTAGTTTAGCCCAATAGTTTTTTGCCTCATGACAAGTCCACCACATAGGATTAAAAAGTACCAGGTTTATGTTTGCATTTCCAGTGAAAGCCTTCAGGCCGCAATTCTCGGCATTGGCCACAGGAGGGCACTCCAGGCGCGCCGCTGATGCCTCCGTTGCTGAGCGTGGAGCCACACTGCCCCCCCCCCCCACGCACGGGCTGCACGCTGCCGCCTCCCCCCCTCTTGGAAGATCAGCGACGGAGCCCTTTCGCCCCTCCACTGTGGATAAAATGCAAAGCTTGGCTTTCATGGGTGCCCTTTCACAGTACGGTGTCGTTCGCATATCAATTTAACGGGGATCGAGTCCCTTTTGAATGCAGTAGCGCTTGCTTAGGATCGTAGAACTGTTCACTGAGGGACAAGTAAAGGAGAGCGCTCTGGACTGACTGAGTTTAGTAGCAAAACATCTGGTGATAAATCCATTACTGTATTAAAGATACCATTCCGCGTCCTATTTGAGGTTCATGCGATATAAGCAGCCTCTCTGCAGAGAGATTCCTCTTCGGAGTTGTGTGTGCGGGTGTTTAAAGCTAGCGCAAAGTCGTTTTGTAGAATCAATTTCTGAAAGGTAGTACATTTGTCTGTATTCTTTTCCTTGCCTCAAATGTGACTTATCAGACACTGATTCTGCTTAAGACTTCATTCCATGTAGGATTGAAGTCTTTTATACTGTTATCTTGTTTTATATTGTTACAGTTTTTTAATTGATTTATTTGTAAGCCGCCCCGAGGCTTCGGCGAATGGGGCGGCATAGAAATTTTCTAAATAAATAAATAAATTCCAGTTTCCTCCCTTCTTCGGGGCGGGGGGGGGGGCAGAGGGGCTGGCCCCACCAACTTGCGGCCTTGCTTGGGGTCACCGGAGGGTGGCATTCTTGCGAATTTGGAATTAGGTGTGTTTAATTTTCTGTTATTTTTAGAGGGGATAAGAGCTGCAAAGGCTCACATACAGACATATGCAGTCCGAGTGGCCTGTTCATTTATGCATTAAATGATACATGTTTGCAGAAGCTTTGCATATCATAACATTTGTTGTGTGTATGTTAAAATGGGGCAAGACACACAATCGCTCATGTGGGCATCGCCCTTCAGACAGAGGAGATGGATGTTTTTCCCCCACCCTGGGTGCTTGTTTCCTCCCGCACTTGCCACCCCGATGGGTGGCACTGCTGGCTGTGCAAGATGGGACCTGGAGTCCAGTAACATGCTGGTCCCACTGCCCTTGATCTAGTCTTACAACAGCGCTCTTGAATGGCAGCCTAAACATGGAAGAAAAAACAAAAAAAAGCTAGCTGTATTCATGACATTTGGGATGTGTTGGTCTTTACAGAAAAAGTCCGGTGCTGGTTTGCTTGCTTAGACTGTAAATAGATTTTCAGGGCTTTGCTGGCCATGCCTACTCTGATGAAAGTTCTGTTGTGCTCCCCTTTTCCACGAGGCCTCAAAAATGTAGGCCAATGGATGTGAGAGCAATTTCTGAAGTACCCTCAGGTGTAACCCATCAGGGCCTGGTGCCTTTGTGACAACCAGGGCCCTGAGGAGCTCCCCAATCTCTAGTGAGGTGATGCCAATCTGTGCCCCCAGAACCCCAACCTCATCTATTCCCCCAGCTAGAACTCCCCTAACCCTCTTTGGCGAGAACACATCAGTTATGAGATCTCCTCCCACCCCTTTAAGTGGTTCCACCACCTGTCTCCCCTTCCTCTTCCTATTCACATGAAGGCAGAAGCACTTTTTGTTGCTCCTGACATTCTTTTCCAGTCACAGCTCATAAGAAGCCACAGCCTTGTGAAGGATCCTTCTGCTTGTGCTGCCTCCTCTTGCTAAGCCCCTTTGACCACTTGCCCAGAGGTCATTTCCTGGGAAGGCCCCTCTTTCTCCTGTTCCCTTCTAGCACCTCGTTTTGCATCCACGTGGCACCATCCTGTGCCGCCCTGTTTTGCTATTCAGCAGTCACTGCCAAGAGCTCCCTTTTTAGAGCCATCCACCCCTCCTGAACTCCCTTGCCTCCCAGTACCCTCTCCCAGGAGACTTCCCCCAGCCTGGTCTTCAGTTGACTCCAGTCAGCCCTTGAGAAGTCCCAACTCCTAGTACTTGGCCTACCGTCATAAATTAGTAGTAACATAGATGGATCTTTAAAAAAAAAAAAGATGGAGTGACCCCCACTACCACCAACACCAAAAATATTCTTAACACCCATACATGGAAAGAGGAGGAAAGAAACATAAAGGCTGGGAAAATCTGCAGCATGAAACAAACCTGCTCCAGAAGGGCAATCCCATGGAAAAGACTGGAATGTTGTTTCTAATGGAACATGGCTAGGACGTTCCAATAAGTCATATTAAATATTGCAACAGTGGGACTCTGGCTTTAGCCATCACAGAGAGTAACCCCTCTCCGTCCAAATCTTGGGAATCATGTTCTTGTGGGGGTGGAATGGCTTCTGCTCAAGGCCCATATCTAATCTCTTATGAAACTGGAACTTTTATTGAATGCTTCATTGAAAGAACCAGCCTTGGGTTGCCACATGTCTTGCTTCCCCCGAAATTGTCTGTTTCCCCTCCGCCCCAGCCACTCAAAGGGTTCAGCTGCACCGCCTCCCCCTCTACTGGTTCAGCTTCCTTTTGGCCACATGGTGGAGTCTGAAAGGGATCAAAAGCTGAACGGAAGAGCAGATCCACTGCTAACGAACCTGCCCTTTCAGTTAGCCTACTAAAGCAAAGTCTGAGCCAGATCGTAAAAGAGTCCGAGGTGCCTCTGGAGCGCATGATGAAAACGATCATTGCTGCCTATTCCCAAAATCCAGGTGGTAAGAAAGATCAGCAGGGGAAGGCTGGGAGGACTGGAACTGTGTCCCTTGCTGATGGCTTTTCATTACAGAACTGTTGGGTGATGTGAATTTGAGCTAATATCGTTGCAGTAGCCCCCTTTAGAATCAATCCGTTGATCTCGGGGCACTGAATGGGTTTGACATGTTTTGGTGTGTGAGTGCTATTCATGGGTAGGACTGGGATACAAACCTGGGGAAAATCCGGATCTTGAAACCCTCCTGGTGTTCAGCTCCAGTCTCCCGTCCAGTAACTTGCTTTGCATCTGCAGTCCTGGGTGACAGAGAACAAGTCGCAGCCCTCTTCACTGCGATGACCGCCAAGCCACTTTAAAAGCGCTCTCTCCTCTCCAGCTATGTGTACCTACTTTATTCCCCTTTCCTAACAGGATTTAATGTAATATAACCTTTGCTTCTTTTCTCTGAACTCACTCCAATTTATCTGAATTCTTCTTAAAGGTTATGTGCAGAACTGGACAGTGTATTAGAGGTGAGGTCTGATGGCATAAAGTGGAATGGAAGTATTACTTGACATGATTAGAAAAGCACACTTCAGTGGAGGCATCTGAGAATGGCATTTGCTTTTTGATGTTTTGCATCCATAGCACCATACTGATCTATATGCAGACTATAACTCCAAGGTTATTTTTATGTATACTATAGTTAAGGGACAGAAGAGCTGAAAGTGTTTTGTGGGAAGGGCTAGCCCTGATGCCCATGGGTGCCTGCCTTCTCCTCCCTCGGCTCTCATTCTTTGTTTCTCCTTTCCTTCTCCTCTACCATTAAAAGCCCCACAGAAGACAGGATGGCTCATGAGAGAAAAGGCTGGTGAAAGTATTGAGGTTCTGTGCCATCCACATGAGAGCCTTGGTCTCTCTACATGCTTCTGAAGAGCCTTCCTTCTGTGTCACGCCTGATTCACACAGGCCATGCAGAGGAGGGAGGCGGTCTGCCCCAGCTGCCGCCACTGCTGCACGTCTTGGAGATGGTGGACCAGGGCTGCAGTGCACGAGTCATTTCAGGGGATTGGCTGAGCTGGGGAGGCGGCGGCGGGTGGGAGAAGCTGGGCCAGCAGGTGACTGTGACACAACCGAGAGCTGCCAGCAAGAGGGGCTGTTGACAGGGTTGTCTCCCGCAGGGAGTCGTGCCAGCACCCTGGCTGCCCTCCGCGCACTTCTCGCTGTGTCGTGGCCTTCCAAAGGAGATGTCCAGGCCTTTGTCCAACTGCTCTCAGTTTTGCAGTGGATTGTGAGTTTCCTGCTCTTAGGTGAGTAGCCAATGTGGCAGAACAAAGCTCTTGGGATGTGGGTGGCAGCCATCTTCAGACAAGTAGGATCGGACAGACTCCGGGAGAAATCCTGCTCAGATTGAGGCAGTACCTCCCGGAATTCTGTACATTCGAAGGCGATTCTAGGGGTCACATCCCTTCCCTTTGGTGCACTTACATGAGCTTCCACATGGGCTAAAATGAGACAGAGAAGGTCACACGAGATGGACTTCCTTTGATCTAAGCCAGCAGGGCCAGTGCTTATCTTATATTTTACAAATGAGGTTCAGGAAAGCCTGAAATATCCCTACCCTGGTTTTATATTGCTTATTAGTTTATGACTTTTAACCCCACCAGTCCTTTATCCATACCCAGTTCTAATGGGCTGGGAATTTCTTGGAGCAGAACATGTTTTGGCTGCAAAAGAAACTGGTTCTGGGGAAGGACAGCCTTTTCTGCTCTGTCCCCTCAGCAGGAATACTCTCTCACAGGCAGGAGACATAATATTCCTCCTCAGCCAGGAGTCATTATTGTTGAAATTGCAACAGCTTCCAGACAAGGCTTTTATGAGAGCTTCCAGTGCTCAGTCTCTCTTTTATGGCCCAGATGCCACCTTCCACTCACAATCCTCCAAAGTTTCCCCACTGCTTCTTCCAACTTTTCTCTTACCACAGATAGTCTGCTAAAAATAAAGGGACGGTTGCACAGTGTCTTCTCATTGGTGGTATGAAAATCCTTTTGTCTGGAACCACCAAAGCATTTGGTAGCACTCCTGGGCAGGAAGGTCCTGTAAGTTTTGGACCACTGCAAAATCCTATGACAGCCCCCTAGCAGAAGGTTACAAAGAGTGGCCCTGGGACTTGACAATATGATGGGCAGCCGATGTCCCGTTTCAGTGGATGTTTTAAGGTCCACAGATAAAAACTCCTCCACCTCCTGCCTGGAAAAAGAGGAAGGACGTGCCTTTTCAGACATGATGGTGTGCACTGGAAAGTTCCTCTGTGCACACCTTGTTTAGCATGTCATGATGGTGCTCTGCTGGAACTACATAATCCTCCAAGTTCCAGCGGCCAAAGGACAACCAAACATAACGTGTCCCTGAGTTGCATCTGCAAACACAGAACTGATTTTGCCGGCTGCCCAGGTTCTGCGTACTTTACAGGGCCCCTGGTTGTCATGGAAACTACCAAACCCTGAGACACCCCACACAAGATGCCCTCAGCATGAATGTTGGCGCCCTCCAAAGGCAGCAGACGGGAGGCGACTCAGCTTCACACCCACTTCTGGGTGGTGGGAGGGGTGACCCCTGAGCAGAATCCCCAGTCAGTCCCACTGGACAATGCAAGATGCAAGCACTGGTGAGGTACAGCGGTACACAGAGAGAGGGAGAGAGGGAGAGCACGCCCTCTCACAGACCAGGGCAACTCCCTCATCCCCCTCGCCCCGGTTCAGGTTCAGCCACAGTCTTTTGTCATGGACACGTTTTAGCACTGCGTATGCCATAATGGGCAGGAGTGCCACGTGGCAGAGATTAGCTATAAGGCTCTCCATGGAGCTCCCAAATCACATGAAGTCCTGGTTCCCCTCTACTTGGCACTAGTTAGCCCCCGTCTGGAGTGCTGCATCCAGTTCTGGGTCCCACGCTTCAAGGAAGATGCAGACAAACTGGAGAAGTCCACAGGAGGGGAACAACAATGATCTGGGGACTGGAAACAAAGCCCTGTGAGGAGAGATTGAAGGAAGTGGATATGTTTAGCCTCAAGAAGAAAAGCCTGCAGGGAGACAGGATTGTACTCTGCAAGTACATGCCACAGAGAGGAAGGTCGGGATCTCTTCTCCATCATCCCAGAGTGCAGGACATGGAATGACAGGCTCAAGTGACAGCTAAGCAGTTTCTGCCGAACACCAGGAAGAGCTTCCTGGCTTTTGGAGCAGCATGACGGTGGAAGCAACGACCCAGGGAAGTCGTGGGCTCCCCAGCACTGGAGGCCTTCAAGAGGAAATTGGGCGGCCACCTGGCAGGGTTGCTTCAACCTGGGATCCTGCACTGAACAGGGAGTTAACCCTCTGTGGCCAATATGGGTCCCTTCGGGCCAGGGGTGAACATGGGATGGGCACCACTGCCTTTCTCCCTGCCTTACTGGTGATTTTTCCACTGGGACACTGGCTGGTGGCTGCTGCTGAAATCAAATGCTGAAGAAGATTGTCCATCCAGCAGGGCCACCCTCCGTATGCTAGCATCATAAACATATTAAGAACTCACAGAAGGAACTGTCAGACAGATGATGGATGAGTAATTCTCAGTAAGTCGTCTTTTGATGCTCTGAAAAAAGATTCATCAGCTATCTTCGTTTACTCCCCAGGTTTAAACTAGTTTCAGATAAAAAGCGTAGGATCTCTGACTACGTTGGCTTACCCAGGGCTAACTGTGGGCAGGCTTGGACTGCGGGGAATTAGTGGGTTACTTGCGGATTGTTCTTCCCTCAGGGACTGTTATGCTGCTGCTTCTCACCTACTTGGTCTTCACCAGCTTCTGGCCCATTTCTGCCTTTTATGTGGCTTGGCTTATCTTGGATTGGGACACACCTGAGAAAGGTAAGGGGAGGTAGCGCTCAACTCCACCAATGGAGTCTTGCAAAAGAGGTCACTTCCACTTGCTCAGCCTCTCGACTGCTTGTCTCTGTTTGGTTTGATTCTCTCTTTGCTTCCCTTATTAACTGCGGGTGCCATTGCATGTGCTCCTCACAAAGCTCCTCCTCATCTTTCCCAGGGCCACGCGGCCCACTATTTCACAGTGACTCTGGCTTGTGGCTGACCCTGCTTTTGCTGGCGCTGCCGGCCTGCCTGCCTAGCCCACCTACATCTCCTCCCTCACATTTCCCACACGTTTTGTGTGCTCCCCACATCTCCTTCAGAAATCGTGGGATGCACTAGCCCTTGTGATCCCTGCAAAAGACAGCTCTGGTGCAGCTCTCAGAGCAGAAGCAGCCAGGCCCCACGGAGGCCGCAGGCGAGGCTCGCAGCCAGGTGACCCAGGGGGCCGGGCCTGGGTCTGTGATGTAAGTTCAAAGTAAGCTGCAGGGCTTGGATCAAGCTGCAAACTGACGTGACGTAAAGCCATAAAGGTAGTCCTGTGGGATCGCTTTATATGACAAATAGGTATGTCTGGAGGGAAATGCCATCAACAGAATTGCAGAAGAGGATTGGAAGATAAAATAGCTTAGACCTGCCACAAACTCACTCTGTGTCAGTTTTAAAATGTAGTGACCTTATGAAATTTGGCCCTAATTTGGATTGGTAATCCAAGCCCAAACAAGCTTGTATAAGCCAGCAACGCTCATTTGCTTGTTTGAGATTTTGAAAAAGCCGTCCTTGAGTAGCTTTTTCTGCACAGCTCATCATTTCTGCCCATGCTAAACACATTCCAGCCATCAAAATCATGCCAGGCTCTTTTCGCAACTCACAGGCATGGGAGGGGCTGTCCTGTGGGGAAGGGCTGTGAGCTGTTCTTCCCTGAGGTGGAGGGCAGGACGTGTTCCACTGGGGCAAAACCCAGGGAAGCATGCTTCAGGTTGGATATCAGGAAGTACTTCCTAGGATATGGAATGGTCTTCCAAGGAAGGTGGTTTTGGCCCCATCAGGGAGGGTTTTCAAGGAAAGACTGAACAACCACATGTTGGGGATTACATGAGTGGAGCCTGCTGGAGCCGGGCATCGGACTAGATGGCCTTGGAGACCCCTTCTGACTTGCTTTGTCAGAAATGTTTCTATGTGACCCAGCATGGAGATTAATGGTATGGGGAGAAAAGAAGAACATCTTGATGAGGGAACATATGGATCTCCCTAAACGCTACTTTCTTGTACAAAAAACTCACGGGCACTAGTGTCCTTTCTCAAGGGAAGCCATGGTGTTTCCCAGCTGCTATGGCAGCTCCTGAAATCTCAAAAGGGGGAAAGTGGTGGGGAGTAAAGGGACAGAGAAGCTGTAGTGATCTGAACAGAGCTTGGCATCACTGCGGAGAGAGAGGGCCCCTTGCTCCTGTGATGTCCTCTGGGCTGCTGTCTAGGAGGAGGAAAGGCTTCATGATAAGCCAGATCATGTCACGTGCAACATCGATACTTCGAAGAACAACGACCGGCCACCCTGATGGATTCTCACAATGTGCAACACCAGCTTATATCCCGTTCCCTCAATATCTGAGCTGCTAAAACAACAACTTCCACCTGCATAACGTGAAACCAGGGCAGTGGGCTTAGAGGGATGCCCAGAACAGTGCAGAGCATTATCCAGTGCATGTCCTGTGGATGCACTTTGGCTCCTCTCCCTCCTGGGCCCACGAGGTTTGCTCAGCTCTTTTGCCATTCCAAAGTCCGTCCAGCTGAAGGACAGCTTAAGATATGGGTCGCATGCCTGGAATTCCTCAGGGCAAGGGTTTCTGCCCCAGCCCCTGGAACAGAGTGTCTGCAAGAGTGGGACAAAGGGCTGTGCCAGCAGGGTTTGTGTGCCTGTGGATGAGCGGCTGTGGGGATCGTGGCCAGTGTGCAATACTTGCTTCGTCTCACAGGGAAAGAGCAGACATCTTCGCCCCCTCCAGGGAGACTGGCACCTTCGGCCACCTCTTGTCCCGCTTTCTGGCTCTCTGCCAAGCTGCAAGCTGCCACTTGTCTTCTTGTCTCCAGTCACCCACCCCTGTCTGTTCACAGCAGCAGCAGCCAGATTGTCGTCTTGGTCAAGCTCCAGCAGACAAGCTGATGCAGAGGCCCCTGGCTCCCATTCCTCTTCTGTTTGTTCTGCACTGGGGAGACGTAACAGCCTGACACATGGGGTTTACGTGGCAGGACAACCAAACTACCGAAACTCTGTCTGGAAAATATAGCAGAGGAGTGTGTGTGGGGGGGGGGGGGGGGGGGGATACCTGTGATTGTCCTGCTGTAAGCAGGGGGCTGGGCAAGATGACCTTCGAGGCACCTTCCAATGCTGCTAACCGGAGAGGGTGGCACTGGCTGCGCTGGAGCACCGGCCAGAGAGGTTTGATTCTGATTTGAAATTGGTTGATTCTGTACAAATCATACTGGGCCAGCATGGTTTTCAGGTGATAATTTGCATACATTTCATTAGTAGTTAAAGGTGGCAGAGGGGTGGAATTGTGATTCATCTTCCAAGCAGAAGGCCGTGAGCTGGCTCAACTTGTTCCATGGTGTGTTGGCACTGGCACAACTGGTAGGTTTGGGGTTAGGAAAAGCTGGGTCCCTGGGCAAGTCTGTAGGCCTGGACCCTGCACTGGCTGGGAAGAAAGACGGAGAGATGAACAGGAAGGCCCTGCCTTGTGCTCGCTGCCTGAATGTGCAGGCAGTCCACCTCCATACTAAGGCTGGGGTTCACTCAGGCTGGCTCAGGGCTAGGAAAGCCTGGATTCCTGCAGCCTGAGAAGGGTCTGGATCGTGCAAATGCAGCAGGCAACCAGCCCAGGCGTGCCATCCAGGCTCTTCCTCACAGGCTCCCTTTTGGAAAGAGCCGGTCATCCATTCGCCTCTTCTGTACAATTCTTCGTTGCCTTATTTTGCTCTTTCTTCTGGTGTGATGGCATGTTCGCCTGCTTAATTTTCAGGTGGGAGGAGTTCTTCCTGGGTCCGAAACTGGCCTGTCTGGAATCACTTCCGAGACTATTTTCCAATTCAGGTAGGCACATGTGGAGGAGGGTAAAGGGAGCATAACTGGTCTCCCCACTCCGTGGAACTGTACTGGGAAAGGCAAGCCATGGTGAGAGAGAGAGAAACCGAGTGGACTGGCCTGCAGGGCCTCCCATGGACCAGAATGGGTGGCGGGGGGGGGGGGGGGGCCCCTCTTGGGGGGGGGGAAAAAAGGTGGGGTACCGGGGGTTGTGATCTGTTCCTTTGACTGGTACTTCTGCACCCCAGGAAATGAAGGCTTGCCCCCTTGGCCTGTGCGGTGCTGCTGGGGTGCTGGGAACCACTGTTTCCCACTAGCCAGACTCCCCATGTGCCCCATGAATGCATGGAAGTCACCAGCCCAGGAAAGATGCACCCGGGACAAGTCCCACAGCACTGAGAAGGTCATTCCTGCTGAAGGCAGAAATCGCTGCTCACAGCATCCCAAGGCTGTTAGTCATGGGATGCTGTGAGCAGACAGCACTGCTTCCTTTCGTTATCCTTCTCATTCACTCTGGGAAAACCGGTGTTCTTCAGAAGTTGATCTGCTCCCCGGAGAAGAGTGGAAGGGTGGGAGGACCTTCCAGGCCTCCTGCCTGTTCTTCCCCTGCATTGTGCAGATACTGCCCGGCTGCTGGAGGGAGGGGTCCCCAGGCGTGCCCTCAATGCAGAGGGGTGAACTGCACGTCAGACCAGCAACCACATCCCCTGTGGTGTGTCGGCCAGCATGCCCACGTGGCAACCCGGAAAGAGGCTCCGTGCCTGACTGACATGTTGCTACCCTGCAGCTGGTGAAGACGCACAACCTGCTCCCCAGCCACAACTACATTGTTGGGGTCCATCCCCACGGGATCTTCTGTGTTGGGGCTTTCTGCAACTTTGTCACTCGTTCTACCGGCTTCTGTGAAAAGTTCCCTGGCATCAAGCCTTTCCTGGCCACTCTGGCAGGCAACTTCCGACTGCCTGGCTTTAGGGAATACCTGATGAGTGGAGGTGAGTTTGCTTTTGGCCCTTCCCCCTTTCTTCCCCGTTGCTCAGATGGGCAGCATAGTCCTCTTGGCCCTGCCCCCAGGGCACCAGGCACTGCGGCTGACCTGCATGCCAGGCCCGGGATACGGGGCAGCTGCCGGGCCCTGCACCCTGAGTGGTCCTAGAGGGCCAATTTCTGCCGTTGAAATAGGGCACTCGGGGAGGAGGCTGGATGTTGGCAAGACCTGATGCTGCTCCTCGGCCCGGCCGGCCCCCTTTGCCACCCCACAGCAAGGGCGCATTGCAGCCGTGCAGGAGCAGCTACCGGGGCGCTTTCTGTGCTTGCTGGGAAGCAGCGGGGCTGGGCCTGTTCCGAGATTGCAGGTGCTTGGAGTAGGGACTCCAGAAAATGCCCCGGTGCTCAGACAGTGCTGGAAGGCCACAGGGTTGTGCATGTAGCGGTGAAGGCGCTGCCCACGGGGGTCCGCCAGGGAATGCCTCTGGTTGGAGCAGGACCTCCAGTCCAGCCATTGTGCTGACTGCACATCCAGGAGGTGAAGCTGAAAGACCAGCCCACCATTTGCATGTTTGTGCATCAGTTCCTCATAAGTTCAGCCTCAGTTTTGCAGGATGAAATCATCAAATGCATGGCCCTGAAGAGACATTTTGCAATCACTCAACCAGGGTCTCTTTTCGAAGATCACCAAAGGAGGGCCGTGCTTACTCTCTTGGCGTTTAAAGCAAAGCTACTGCTTCCCCTCCCATCAGTTTGAGAACATGGAACATTGAATATTTCCTGCTCTGTAGCAGAGCAAACCAGAGACAGGTCCTTGTTTAAGGGATGCCTCTCAGTTGCAGCAGCAAGAAAAGCCCCTTCTCCCGCCAGGAGTCTTGCGTGGTGCCATCCACGTGAGCCTGCTGGAAAACCCTCCTGCACCCCTAAGCCAAGTGCTTGCTGGGGAGAGGAGGCAGCCAGAGCCTTCCGCATCAGCCTTCCTGGTCCGGCAAGCCTTGCGTCCCCAGGTGGCAGCTCGGCCACTCAACCCAACCAACCCAAGAGCGCTCCCATGCGTGGCGGCTGCTGCCAGGGGCTGTGTTAAGACAGCATGCAGCGTGGGATTCTGACATGTGGCAATCCAGCCAAGATCACACCTCTGGGTATGATGTTAAAATATCACAAACTGCCCAGGCTTAATGTGGGCTGGTGATCGAAAGCTATTAAGGCCAGTCAAATGGAGGGCGGGGGGGCAGCTGTCGCTTTCCTTGGAGGGGTGAAGTCCGGCCCCCTCTCCTCTCTCTCCAGGCCTGTGCCCGGTGACCCCGAAGGCAATAGAGTACCTCATCTCCAGGAATGGCACGGGCAACGCTGTGGCGATTGTGGTTGGAGGGGCTGCCGAGTCACTCTCCTGCCAGCCAGGGGTAACCACCTTGATCCTCAAGAAGCGCAAGGGGTTTGTCCGGATGGCACTCCGACATGGGTATGTGCTGCTACCAGTTGTGAAGCGTGCTTTTCTGCTAGCTGGCTGGGGTGGATTCCAGGAGGGCAGCCACACGTACCCTGAAAACATCGGAACACGGGGTTGCCCTGCTGCGCCCGACCAAAGAACCAGCCAGTCCAGCTGCAAGATACTCCTTGCAGCTGTGCCTCTGCAGAAGGTGCTGATTTGGAAGGGTTGGGGCTGGGGACTTGGGAGGCCCGGGTTCTAGTCTCCCTGTGTCTGTGAAGTCAGTGGGGGGGGGGGAATTCACTCTCAGCCTAGCCTACCTCATAAGGTTGTTGTGAGGATAACAGCAGAGTAGAGGAGACCCTTGTGAGCTGCCTTGGGGTCCTTGCAAAAGGAAAAAGGTGGGACATGAATACAGTGCCATCATCTTCATCATCATCATCATCGTTGTTGTCATCATCTTTCAAGCCATCTAGGCCCATGGCCAAAAATATATTGTTAGAAAACAAATACCATATGTTCATTCTGTGACATATGAAGCACTTCCTTTATGCTTCTAATGCATGAAGTGCTTACTTTATTATCTTCTAAATCTGAGTTCTAAGGTTCTGGTAGGGGGAGCAACTTCTGCTTTAGCATGGAGTTTGTGGAAGTAACATTGCAAACAGCCCAGACATACGCACCTACCGAGGCAGTGAGTTCACTGATGAGGGAGCAAAAGACCCCCATCGGTCCCATTAGAGTAAAGCAGGCCTAAAGAGCTGCTCGCCACCTCTTGATGCAGTGTGGAGTGTGGAGATGAGGCAGCGGGCGCAGGAGCAGCGTCCTTGAGGCCAGAGGCGCTTCCACACCGAGCCGGGCTGTTAGGCTGCCGTTCCTTGCAAGTGGGAGGCTGGGCTATGCTTGTCATGGGGCTGGATGAGGCTCGGAGGGGGCGCTGATCTACGCCTCTGATTTTCCATCAACTGATGCAGCCCAAATTGTCCCCTCCCAGGGCACACCTGGTTCCTGCCTTCTCTTTTGGGGAAAATGACCTTTTCCAGCAGATACTCTTTGAGGAAGGCACCTGGATGAGACGGCTTCAGAACCGGTTCTATAAACTTCTGGGCTTTGCTCCCTGCTTCTTCTATGGAAGGGGCTTCACCTCCACCCACTCCAGAGGATTCTTGCCTTTTCCGAAGCCAGTTACCACTGTCAGTAAGTGTCCCCGTCTTCTGTCACATCGCCCTGGGAGAGGGAGGAACAGGCAAGCCCTACTTTACAAAGGGAGTGGTCAAGGGAGCCCAACACGGAGAGCGAAGGGCTGCAGTGAGAGCTCCCATTCAGAGCTTGGAATGACTCGGGGTCTTCTGCTCGGGCACTTGCACCGCAGAGACTTGTCCCCTGCAGCACTGCAACGCAGTTCATTATCTAGCATGAAAGGATGTTGGCCCGATCCCCCTTTAGGTTGGAGTATTTATTTTCCCCCCAAAATTCATTTGACCTTGTGACTGGGATTGCCTCTTCTGGGGACGGTCCGGGGATCTGCTGCATAAGCTGTCAGGTCCATGAGGCGGAAGGAGCTGGAGAGCTCTGCCGGTGCCACCCCAGTGAGATCGCAAGCGGGAGGCTGCTGAGCTGGAGGCTGCTGGGCCACATCCGCCCTGCAGCATCTGCTCCCTATAGGCTCCCCGGCAGGCAGGTCTGTCTTGGGAGCGGAAACGCCCTCAGCCAGCCCAAGCTTGGCAGAGGCAACAGCTGCCCCGTGGCTGGGCGCTCGGCCACCAAGCAGGGGCCCCCTCTGGGACAAGCCAGGGCTCAGCAGAGCAGCCCTACTCTGCATGCAACGAGCTCCCATTCTGGTCCCGCTAATTATCTTATTTAGCCATTTGTTTAAAATGTGAGGCCACTATGTAGGGTGAAACTCTATTGACATAGTAATCAGGGTCCCAGAAGAAAGATCTGCCCCCACTCATCAGGAAATAACCTGCCCAAATCCCTCCTTTTCTCCTCCCACACTAGTAGGAGAGCCCGTGACAGTGCCCAAGATTGAGCAGCCAACTCACGAGACGGTGGATCTTTACCACTCCCTGTACATCCAGTCTCTCTGCAAACTCTTCAACGACCACAAAGTCAAGTACGGGCTGTCAGAAGCAGATGAGCTGAAGATTCTGTAGCAGAGATGCGGCAGGGCGCTGCTGCTACGCCCCGGAGCCAGGGGCTGCCTGCTTTTGGGACTGCTTTGGGTTTCACATCAATCCTTGCGGGTTTGTTCTCCAGCAAGTGCTCCCCCATCTGCTCTTGAGCCTGACTGGTCTGCCAGGGGCAAGGGGCATTTTTTACGTAGAACATCCCCAGTCCAACCTCTGGCATCTTCACCTTGGGTAAAGACTGAGCAGGGAGCAGTAGGAGAGGGCTGCCGCCAGGAGCGTACACTGAGCCGATGGCGCGGGGTCCTGGCTTCATGTGGGGCAGCCCCACTTACACTCACACGCTCCCTCCATTCCCTCCTGGCCTGGTGAAGGTGGCATTTGTATCTCCAGCCACCAGCACTTCCTCCTCAAGCTGAGGGCCTTCATGCCAACCCCCGGCTTGCCTGGCATGACTAATGGTTTGTCTGATCCAGGGCCAGAGGTGCAGCTACAGTGGGGAAAGCAGAAGCTTGGCCAGGAGGATGTTCATGTCAGCGGGGTTTGTGCAGGATTGTGCCCAAGACGGTAATGCGTGTGTGGAGGGATGCAGTTTGAATTGTCCCCTTCAAGCCCTTCTGTGATGTGCAAAGGAAAACACGGGTATGAGGTTTATTAGACATCCGTGGCTCTTTCTGGTAATGAATCAACACTAATAAAGTGGATTACATTTTCATGGACCCAAAAGATTTCTCTCTGATTGCTGAGGAAGCTCATTTTCCCATATTGTCATCAAAAGCATCCCCTCAGCAGCCACCTTCTCTCAGGCTCGGGCTGCAGTCCCCGTGGGCTGCAGGTGGCCCTTCCAGTGACGGGGAGCGAGAGCCAGGTGGGCTCTTGGGACCAAAGCATGGGGCAGCCGCCCCCTGCGGAGCTCCCCAGCCAGGAAGTACAGGACGGGGTTGATGCAGCTGTTGGCACTGGCCAAGGGCCGCGTTATTTTGTAGGTGATGTTAACAGCGTTGAGCGTGCGGCAGTCTGCTTTCAGGAGTCGAGCGGCATAGTAGGTCGTCCGTGTGAGATGGAAAGGCAAGAAACTGATGGCAAACACCAGCAGCACGATGATGATCATCCTGATGGAGCGCCTCTTGTGGAGGGGAACAGGCCGAGGAGGGCTGAGCGGGTGAGGCTTCCACAGCCGCCTTGCCGTCTGGCAGCAGCACAGCACGATCACCAGAAACGGGATGCCGAAGAGGAGGGCCATGACGGAGGAGCTGTAGTGGACATAGCGCTCAAACGCCTCCGGCTTCGTGGTGTCGTGGCAGAGTGTCCCGTTGCCCCTGGCACTGATGGTGACGAAGACCAAGTTGGGGGCGAGGCAGACAGCAACCAGCAGCCACACGCCCGCACAGACCAGGCGGGCGTGACTGGCCTTGAGCCACGTCAGGGACAGGACGGGGTGGCACACCCCCAGGTAACGGTGGACACTGATGCAGGTGAGGAAGAGGATGCTGCTGTACAGATTGGTGTAAAAGAGGAAGCGTACAAATTTGCACAGCCACTCGCCAAAGGGCCAGTTGTTGCGCTGAGCATAGTAGTAAACCAGGCTGGGGAGGGAGAGGACGTAAAGGGTGTCCGAGATGGCCAGGTGGAACATGTAGGTGGAGGTGGCGTTCCATGGCCTCATCCTGAAGACAAACAGCCACAGAGAACAGGAATTGAGGAAGAGGCCCACCACGCAGATGGCTCCATACGAGACGGGCAGAAGGATGAACTTGAACTCCTCGTTGAAGGTGCAGCTCTCCTCTGTTGGGCCCCCGGAAGCTTCGGCTGCCATCTGGGAACCGGATCTCCTGGTGAAAGTGTGAGCAGGCAAGTCATCACCCATCTCTCCAGCTCTGAATAGCAGAGAAGTCACAAAACGACTTCACAGAGCTGCGCACGCTCCCAGGGCCAGCTTCCGAGGATGCTGAAGGGAAGGGCCCCGCTGAATGGCTGCCGTGGATGCAGTGGCCAGTGCTGGGCTTTTGGCTCAGCACATGCGTGTGAAGCCCGTCCATAGAGCAATGCGCAGCTGTGGAGACCCCGGCTCCCTGCAGCTTGGCTGGTCCAGTTCACCAAGCCAGCAGGTAGCATCTGGTGGGCTGCGCGGGGGCAGGGAAGGAGCCTGGGGTGCCACCTGGATGTGGCTGAAGCCGTGGACCCCAGCCTCCTCCCCCTGACCCCAGCGCAGTGATTTTCCTCCCCTTCGAGGCCAATTTCTGATTGGGGGAGGCAGCAAACATGATGCTTTCCAAGTTGGCTGGGGCGGGGTGGGCAGTAGAGACTTCCCATGCCAGAGCTCGGCTAGCCCCACAGACCGTCAGACCAAGCTGGCATGCCACCAGGCCGGGCCCTCAGCAGGCTCCGGGTGGTTACAGGACTGTTGTGACGAGCGTCACAGCTTCAGGAACCGCGCTGGTTGCATAACTCCAAGATTCTCCAGGAGAGAGACACCAGGCGGACAGGGCGCTGGTGCTGACTGGCGAGGGAAAGCCTCCTGCCACCTGTGCAGAGCCTTGCAGGGCACCTGCTATGATATCACGTGACTTTCTTATTTGTTTAAAATGACTTTGAGACAACCGAGAAAGGTAGAATCCCGTCAAGGCAGCATGCAAGAGAAAAGCAGCCATTGATATTCATTTGTTTGTTCTTTCCAAGAATGGGCATGGCCCCAGATGGAAGGGTGGGGTTCAGTCCTAACATACACAGCTAGGGAGACACCCCTCTGACCTCCATAGGGCCTGCTTCCAAGGAGACACCTACAGATGGCAGAGCGGAGGAGGAGGAGGGTAAGAGCAATGCTATGCGTGCAAGGCCTTTTCTACTCACCCTCTGCTCAGGAAGGACCCAGCAGCGGCATCAGCGCTTGCTCCATCCAAATGCACCATGCAGGGCTGCACTTGCTTGCTAGGAAACCGGCCGGCGCTGCTTCTGGGAGACCTGCAGTGAATGGGAAAAGACATGCTCCTCGAGCTCCCCTCCCCATGGGCTGCTTCTCGGATAAACCGACTGTGCTGACAATAGTGTTTTTGTGAGCAGCCTTGATCCTGGGCAAATTGGCTCCCCGGAAATGAATGTGGCCTTAATTATGCGCTTGGTCACTCAGAAGGGAATAAACTTTCCAAAGCTTCTTTGTGGGCTGCATGGATTCTTGGGAAGCTGCCAGAAGAAATTTTAGGAAGATGTTCATGTGCTGTGAGGAAGGGAGTAAATCTACATTAAAAATGCAAACAGAATGAAACTAAAACCAGTACCCTGGATTCTAAATACCTTCAACACACAAGCAATTTTTTTCACCACTGTCACCAAAGTATAATTCCTGAAGTTTCTGTGATGACAGGACCACCAAGAATGGTACTTCTATGATTTTGGTAGTTCTGTGAGTGCCTGTTAGAGGAATCATGCTGCATCCTGAGAGTCCAAGTTCCATTATCCAATTATTAGAAGCAATAAACGTCCAAATGGAGAGAACTAGATTAAACGTGCCGTGTTTCAGTTCAAAACCACTTTGAGTGGTTGCGCTCCATGGGTGCAGCCACCTGATGCACTGCTTGGGGGTGCAGATGGACCGACACAATGCCCCAGCCCCTTATGTCTAAAACCCAGTACAGGCATTTTCTGCATTTCAGTTATGCCTGCCTATGGGGGACTCATTTTGCTACGCAAATTGTGCCTGGCGAGCAGCTCCGCACGCAGCAGAGCCACAGGCGCCCTCCTCCCCACCTTCTCCCAGAGCTCCACTCTTTGGTCCTCGGGGGACACGACGGGAGCACAGAGACTTCCCCTGAGTGACAGTGAACTCCTTAGTGCTGAGAGTGGCTGGGTTTTATTACTTTTAAAAGATGCCCGAACGCTGGCAAAGGTGGCTTTCCCGATCCGAGCTGGGGGCTCCCGGGGGCTCGCGTTGGACTCCAATGTCCTCTCAGCCATCTCTCAAGATGCAGCAGCTCCTCTGGCTCAGACTAGCCTCTTCTTTCCCGCAGTAGCAACCAGCTGCCTGCCAGAAGCTCATAAACAGGATAGGGACACAACACTCCTTCCCTCTCCTGCCACCTGCAACGGACACGCCAAAGCGGTCCGCCGGCTCGGCAACAGAAGGCTTGGCTGGCATCACCGCACAAAGCAGATCCAGGGAGACAAGAAGGGGCAAGAGCAGGTGGTGGTGCTTTCTACCCATAATCAGAGAGGAACCTCTGCTAATTTTGCCATAAAGAGCTTGGAAGTGGAAAATCATTCTGCAAGTGTCGGCAACGGGGGAGAACTGAAAAGGCAGCGAGCATTCCGAGGAAGGAAGCTAATGAGGGCTAAATTAAGGTGATTGCCAAAAGAGTTCAATTAATTACAGATGAGCAGCAGCTACCATCTGTCACTGCAGGGATTGTGGAAGGCCATGGAAGGAAGGGAGCCACGAGAGATGCAGCTGGTGCCTGGCGCAGCAGACGTGTGCCAGAATGCAAGCCCAAGTTCATGACATGGGTGCAAAAAGCGCCGCCTGTGAACGCAAACCCACACCAAAGCCGGTGCCCCACTGCGCCATCGCACAGAACCTCTAAGCCTCAGCCAGGCCTAGCCTGCCTCCCTTCCTTGCGTGGTGCTGATTCAACATTAGGGGCAGCTCATCGATGCCTGGCACGCTCCACTCAGCAGAACCAGGACAGGCATGGAAAATGAGGCCAGCCTCTTCAGGGATGGAGATAACAGGATGCATAGGAAGGCCCGACTTCTGTGCTCTGCCCCCTGCAGAGGCCCTGGGCTGGGGCAAGCAGCATGTGTGTCGGGCTGGCAGCCGTGTGCCCGCTACAAGATCCAAATGGGGAGCTACGGCAGCAGAGTGGACAGCGTAAGTGCGGTGGAGGAAGGGACGGGCACTGTCGCTGTGCACGTCTGTGCCCCTCTGCTCTTCCCCGCTGCAGCCGTGTGTTCGCTGCACCAGAGAGCTGCCCCAGAGGGCGGCTGCAAGAGCTTCTCCAGCGAGCGCTCTCCCACAGCCGTTTCCATGTCCCCAGCGCTGTGCGTAAACTCCCAGCCTCTAACAGCTCTCAAGGGCACACGCTCCGCACCTTGTGCCACCGCCAGTGGGGAATGTGCCCGCCGTGACAGCGCTGCAGACACTCCCCTTGATCTCCGGCAAGGGGCGGGCTAGAGACGCGGCTGGTGACGCAGGCGCTTTCTGCCCAGCCTGTGTCGTCAGCCTCCTTTCTGCTCTGCCCTGGGAGGGCCCACGGGCCAGAGGACAGAGACGCCTGGCGCAGCTAGGAGAGGGCCGATGGGAGAACGAGCCACCTCATGCGGAGCACAGAAGCCCTGTGGGGCCCCTGAGCCACGGGGAGCATGGGAGCTGGGGGTCAAGGAAGCCTCTGTAGTGTGGCTGCTGGGCTGGCTCTGGGGCTCCTGCTTCACAGAATCTTAGTGGGATTTTGAACACATTTTGCAAGTAGAAAATCTATACTTTCTAGTAAGTCCATTGAATTGTGATTCGGTTCAGACAAGACTGAGATGCTGTTGACGGGCACTTCCTCAGACGGGTTGGAGGAGGTTCGAAGCGGCTGCATGCCCCCTGAAGGGGCAGTTGTGGGGCCGGGGGTCCTTCTTAACCCTTTGTTGTCCTTTCAGGCATGGGTGCCTCAGTGGCTCAGAACGCCTCCTAACCAACTCTGGCTGGTGTCCCAGCTCCACCCCTCTCGGGCCAAGGGACAGCCTGGTTTCCACGCTGAATGCTCTGGTCCTCCCTAAATTCAACATGTGCGATGCACTCTGCGTGGGGTTGCCTCGAAGGCAGTTCAGAAGCTGCCGCTGGGGCAGAACAGGACAGCAGGTTGCTAACCGGAACCTTCATGTCTGAGCGCACAGGGCTGGGTCCGGCCCACTTGCCCTGGATGCCCGCATGCTTCCAGTGCCAAGTTAAGGCGCCAGTTTCAACCTATGAAGCCTTACACCACTTAGGACTGCAACATCTGGCAGAGGGCCTCCCCTAGCTGTGACTGACTTCAACCTGATGCTCCATCTCCCTCCAAATGCTGACTCCAAGGGACAGATGGAGGGTGGCAACGGGGGGGCGGGGGGGGGGCTTTCAATGTGGTAGTCCTCCATCGATGGAACAACTGCCCCACTGTGGCCTGGCCAACACCAAAGCCGTTATCTTCGTGCCTCCAGCTCAAGGTGGACCTTTATGCCCCGGCCTTTAAAGAATGGCATGGCTACCCCTGAGCTTAAGGGGAATCGCCCATTCCAGGTCCTTTACAGAGCCATCCTTCACTATTCTTTGTTTTCTCTGTTTTAAACTTATCATTTTTAGTATTTTATTATATTCTATTGCACCTATCTGCCTGTTTTATGGATTGTTCGAAGCCACCCAGAAAAATTTGGCTGTGGGGCAGTACGGAAACAAAACAAACAAACCAACAGAAAAAGAGAACATGACAGGAAGGGAGAGAGAATGGTAACTCCACGAGGCAAGAGATGCCGCTGCCAGTTCCTGGGTGGTGTTTGCATCATCATGATTATACTTGCACTGCCTGATCTGAGCACTTCGTCTGCTCATTCGGCCGGGCCTCTTGCCTCGTGTGGGGGCTGGTCTGCGCCTGAGAAAGCCTCGTCCCAGCACCCCTCCCACGGGCCGCACGGCTTGGCCAGGCCCAGGAACTGCCTCACCCAGCAAAGCACCTGGCCTTGAGCTAATCTCCTCTTCCTCCTCCTCCTCCTCCTCCTCGAGCCCTCAGCTTACCTGACTCCTCCATCTCACCAAAACAGTCTTCACTTTCCGATTCTGAACCCGTGTCTGGAACGCAGCCAGCAGCCCATGGGACTCTCGCTCAAGCCCACCACCCGCCTTGCTCCCAACACCCA